CCTCTTTTCATAATAGTGAACTAAAACAAGGAACAATCTTTATTACCATTATTTGACTAATTGTCATTATCTACTTTTGTTCATACAGTGATAAAAGCAACAGAGAATACTGTGCACGCAGTGTGTGAAATGTGAGAGGTCCAATATTACTTCTAACCCAACATTCTATTTATCATTGCAATGACAGCTTCCGAATTTAACAATCCTTTCAATGTTTGGGGAAACTCGGCTCAAATCATCCTGCTGCTCCACCTTTCTTTCAACAAGATACCCTTCACTCTGCAATCATATCTGCTATTTTCAGCACCAACGTATCTTCCCTCACATCTCAATATTAAATGCCATCTGCCATTAATTAATTTAGTTGCGAAGTCTCAGTGGACCTTGCTGAACTTCATTCCTCTCCTTGAAACATCCTGTTTTTTTCACACAACTTGGTTTCATCCTCAACATTAGACATTCTCCTTACAATAGCCTAAATTTTGGTCATTAATAAATATTACAAACAGCAGGTGTCACAGGACTGATCCCTGGAGGATGTGGCTGGTCACAGCTGCTCAATTAGAAGCATCAGCGATGATTTCCTATGATTCCCTCAATTTCCTATTATCTAAGCAATTCATTATTAAATTTACGATTCTCTCTGATTTCACTTGCTTTCATTTCAGTCGAAAAGTCTCTCGCCAAAGCCAATGTCATAACCACCAGATGGACTAAAACTAATCTTAGACCAATAGTCTTCATGAATCCAAATGTGTAGGAAAAAAATGTTTAAATGTTTAATTCATTGGCCCTAGTCAAAACTGTAAAGCGTAGAACTTGTCAACAATTTGTGCATAAAATTACATAAGGTTCTTATTCTGTAACAAATGGCAAAAGATATAATGCTACCAGGGTGCTGCACAACTCATTCAGTGGATAGACAAGTGAAGTTAAATAATGGGGTCTGAACAAACGATTTGCATCCGGAATTGCAAATGTTGAATTCCGCCCATAACCAAACATGGTTCATATCATTCCGTGGCGCACACTACTGTTGCATGGTTTACAGGAAAATTCTACATGCTAAATTTACAGAATCTAAAACAGATGTGCTTCAATGCGGTTTGATTCCTGACATTTACGCACTAGAAAATCCATTCAGCCAACTGGCTCCTACTCTAAAAATGGCCAATGTTTGAGTCATCAGGTTGCAGGCAACTTGAGGTAAGGAACAACCTTATGATTCTGAAATCAGCCAATTTTTAGTGTGGTAGCCAGTTGGTATGCAGGAAGTGAGCCAGCTGGTGACACTCATGCACAATGAATGCAGAAGTGCCGGCTGACTGACTATTGTGGCCCCGTTATAAGGGGATCTTATGGACTCACAGATTACTTACTGCCTTATAACTGGGCTTTGCTGTATTTTGTTGCCATGAATTTTCAATTTTTTCTAATTCCATTGTTGCACGTAAATGATATTACATTCTCTGTACAAACACCGAATAATGTTGCTCCAATTATTAAGGTCTCTCATTAGGTTTCAAAAAAAGTGCAGAATAATAATTCACGATTCTTCGATGAAAAATAAATAGCTCTTTTTGATTTTGCCACCTTTCCGTTTCATTGTTGCATTAAATCTTTTACTCAACGGAAATGTTTCACTCCCTGAAGTCCTCTCAGGTTGTCAAATTTGATGCTACTGGTAAAACTGTTGCCTTACAGGCATCTTCGAGCTAATTACATTTGCAAATAGGGAAATGTACCAAGAAAGCACTATAAACCTCCTAAAGCGTACATAAAATAAATTAGTACTTCCAACAACGCTTTAATACAGTTCATGTGCAAATTCTTAATAGAAACGTTTACTTAAAGGGCGCTTAGACACCAAGTAATTCCCTGCAGAGTCAATAAGGAAAACTGGCTGAATATTTTCAGGTTGTAAAAGAAAAGAAGCACGAAAGCGAGTGGAAGAGAGCAAAATAACCAATGGATTTATTTGTAGGAAAAGCTTAACAATAATCCTTACAGTTGATATAATGCCTTATCAAGTCATTGAGACATGTCAAAGTACTTCACAGGATATACTGTAACGTGGTTAGACTATTTAGTGTTGTTGGCAAAACATGGCAGCCAGTTGTGCACCGCAATGTCCCACAAACAGCCATGGAGTGAGTGACCAATTTTATTTTGGGGGATCAATGGCCAGGACACAGGGAGTGTGTCCTGGCCATTGATCCCGTTCTCTTTTCAAATAGTGCCACGGGATCTTTAACATCCCCTGAACATTGCACACTCAGGCCTCGGCTCTTGGCAATCTGCACCTGATACTCTGGAAGTTTGTAAACAGGATGACCTGGGAGAGAATGTATACTGCATTCCAGATACAGGCAAACAATTGTATAGGTAGCATACATAATTGTTTGCACACAAAATACAGTCACTGCACTTTATAGTACACCTTGTGAAGCTCTATGAGCCGACAATCCTACTGTGCAGTTAAAGCCTACATAAATACAAGACGGAAAATGTTCATCGAAATCAGATCATGAAAATCGTTCATTCTGCTAAGTTCTTCAGTAAGATTAGTCACAGCTAAGAAGATCCTGGGAAGACCTTTTAATTTTGACTCATTGCTCTTTGAAATTTGACTCTGATATTAATATCATAATATCAATATCACTAATCAAACATTTGGGATTACCTTGCAATATTTCTTTAGTTAAGAAGCTGAAGATAATGCTAGTTTAGCTAGGAATTCCTGTCAACATGCGAGAACTCCATTCTGCAAGTAGGTTATGCTCCCCTTGAGTAGGAAGGTGGGTCTCGACGTGTGCCTTGAAGGAGCCAAGAGGCTGAAAGCCCAACCGCCGATGATAGGGTGGGCTGGGTGGGGGACTGGAGCAGGCCGGTGCCTGCTGATCTGAGGGAATAGACAGCTTGATATGGTGTTAGTAGCTCACAGAGCTCGGAGGGCTTTGAAGGCGAGGATGAGGATTTGAACTCAATCCTCTGGGGGATGGGGAGCCAGGGGAACCGGCCGAGGGTGGGGGAGATAAGGTCACAGAGCTTGATATGGGAGAGGACATGAGCTGCAGAGTTCTGGATGATTTGCAGCTTGTGGAGGGAAAAGTTGGGAAGGCTGACAAGCAGGGAGTTGTCGTAGTTGAGCCTGGATGTAACAAATACGTGGATGAGGCTCTCGCCGGCCTTAGGGAGAGGCAGTGGCAGAGCCGAGCGATGTTGTGGAGGTGGGAAAAGGCAGAACGAATCATGGCACAGATGTGCCATTAAATTACAATAACTCCTACAAATCACTTTGAGATGTTTTGCAAATGAGAAAATATTAGTATGATTTGTTCTTATTCAGATGCCAATTGACCTGCTCCGCTTCTCCAACATTTTCTGGTTTAAGTTCAGATTTCTGCATCCGCAGTTTTATTTTTATCACTTAGTCAGTACTGCAATGCATATGTTATTTCATTAGGAAATGTAATTACATTAAGCAAAGGCAATAGTCAAGAGTTTAATTTCCAAGTACTTAATCAAGGGCTTTGGCATTTAATGCTGATGAAGATTTTCATAAACTAATGAAGTGTAGCTAACAAGATTGTTTTCAAATCTGCATCAACTAACTGCGCCAAGCGGAACCCAAGAAAAACAACTTTCATGTTTCTGTTGTTCTGGACAATGTTGACCAGCTATTGGACCAGCTATTAGGTGGCCCACGGGCAGCATGCAGCTTGATGGGTGATTTTATGCGGTTCGCGACCATTTCCAACATTACAAATCCCAATCCCCCTCTCCCTGGTGAATGTCCTTCCAGGGCGGCGGCAGGAGCTGGCAGTTGGGAGGACACAGTGCGGCGAACATCTGACTCCTGCCACTGCCCTGGGAGAACGTTCAACAGGGAGGGAGGTATGGAACAGAAGTTGAAATGTTGGAAATGGTCTCAGTTCAGATAAAATCACCAGCCGGGCCAGATGTGGCCAGCGGGACGCCAGCTGGCCCAGGCCGGATGCGCCCACAGACTTTTCTCAGATAGGGAATATGGCCTGCAGCAGCCAAAAGGTTGGACCACCCTGAACTATGCAATACAATTTACATCATATAGCACCTTACACATGGCTCAAAACACCTGGGAGGTGGAAGCTGAAGAAGGTCTGGGGATGGGGGAAAGATGACCAAAAGCTCGGTCGAAGAAGTGACGGCTTGAGTGGGCTTTGAAATGGGAAGAGGGTGTGAGTCAGAGGGATTCCGGTCAGAGTTCCAGAGAGTGGGGACAGGATGGCTCATCAACCGATGGTGGGGTGGGAATGGCGGGGACATGAAGCAGGCTATGTTTGTTGAGGAGAGAGGAAGCAGTTGGGTAGGGTTGCAGGAGGTCACAGAGGTAAGGTAGAGTGAGGCTGTGGATGGCTTTGAATGCGAGGATGAGGATTTTGAATTCAGATCTATGGGGGACGGGAAGCCAGTGGAGCTGAGCAAGGTGGGGTAAATAAGATCGCAGAGCCCAGTGAGGGAGAGGATGTGGGCTGCAGAGTTCTGGATAGCACATACTCTTTAAAATGTATGTGCACAACAGAAAGAAATAGACTGGTAATACACTCAATTATTGAAATACTATTGTCAGAACTGTAAATACAACAACAACTTGCATTTCAATAGCACCCTTCACTCGGGGTAGAGTCTCCAAGCAATTAAATCAATTAAAAGCAACGTTACTGTGAAAATGAATATTCTATGCTGATTGTGTTGGTCATATCCAATTCTGCAGAAGAATATTTGAATCATTGTGAAAAAACCCAAACAAAACGCAATACAAAAAATAACCTATTATTTACCACCAAAACCCACTCTATGGAACAGTGAATGCACATTAGCCATGGAAATTCTACTCTTTTTAATGGAACTTTAATAACATCACTAATTCAACAATTCTTTTAGAACAATATTCAATCACCAAACTGATTGCGTAGCAAACCATACGTGACAGTTCAAAAATACACCCAAAGTTTTACCTTGTACTTTTGCTTCAGTTTTTTTGTATCTCTCTTTTCTACCTGCAAGGTTCGATGGCGTTCTGTGGCGTCATCTGCATAATCCAACTGCAGCAATAGAGAAATAGGAACAATTAGACCGGATCCAATGAGTATTACACTTTCTTAATTCAGCTTCTTGAATTTAGAGGAAGGAAAACAAGGAAGCTTTTGTGAACAGTGTTTTTAGTGGTTTACATATCGAATTAGCTAAGTTAAGTAAATTAATTAATTCACATATAGAATTACTTAAGTTGGTAGCACACTGATTCATGAGGTTTTGCCCACAAAATATACAGTCAATTCACTTTACAATATAAACAAAATGCACTGCAGATGCTGGAAATTTGAAGGGTCTTTGACGCTTTGACGAAGGGCCATGGACCCGAAACGTTGATTCACTTTCCTTTCTCCGTAGATGCTGCCTGACCTGCTGAGTGTTCCCAGGGACTTCTGTTTTTGTTTCACCTTACAATATATTCTGTGAAGCGCTTCGAGACGTCTCGAAGACGTGATAAGGCACATTATCAAATGCAAGGATTATTATTATTATTTATAACGGAATTTTTATTGTTCGAGGGAACCGGCAGAGGCATGATGGGCTGAATAGCTTTCTTCTGTGCCGTAAATTTCAGTGTTTCTATGCAGGTTAGATAATTATAAAGACTCAGATTGCATTTGCTACATCAAAGCGGGTTAATCGCTAAGGAAGTAAATAAATTCTAGGGTTTGTATTAATGACATCAATCAAAAAGAAATCTATAATTGAATTCAGTGACAAAACAGAGATAATGTTTGCAGATTAAAAAGGAAAATTCTATGAAAATAACATAAATGAAAAACTTTTACTTGGGTAAACAATATGCAGGTTAAACAAAATATAGTATATAAACACATAAAGCAATGTGTAACTTTAGTTGAATCTTTAAAAGACAGTTTTAACAATGGTTTCAATGACTTATATTAAAAATATCTTTTAATTTGCATACAACTCTAGTATTAATTATAAATACTGAAAGCAAAATTGTAGCGTTAATACAGTATTTTCAATAATGAAAATTAGGATAAGATAGGAATAGTGGCCTGACTAAAGCCAGCAAAAATAATAAGAAATAGGAAAATTCACATCATTTATTGCAGAAGCACTGTAATGTTTTATAATAAAATATCCAATGTCTTGATAAAGGCTTATCAGTTGTCATCAGCATCTTTCTTTATTCTTGATAATAGAAATAAGGAGTAGGTAACCGTAACAACATAGCCTGACCCTGAGTATTGGGAGCCTATTTGTCCACAGGAAGCATCACAACAAAGCCTAATCCAGTCCTCACCCAACATGCACACGTGCTCATTTTCCCACGAATGGTGTGTGGATAGCGATTGGAAACAGGAACCTCAGTTGAGTTTTTCCTCCTCAGCCCAGTGGTGCACAAGCAAATTGGAATGGCCCAGGTCATACACAAATGAGCCACTAACAGCAAAGATCGAGATTGGAACCTGTGACTTTCTGATCTGTACTGCCCAAGTCCTGCACCTTTACCCACTAGACAATTGGGTGAACTTTAAACTTGGATGGGATTAGAGTGGATAGCTCTGATTTTATGTTTTAATGTGTACAAAAATAAAGATAAAATTGCTTGTATTTACATACTGTATATCATTCACCAATGCTGTGGAAAATGATGCATGTAAAACTGAATGCTTCACAAAACATTACTTGTTGGTTTGAGTAATTAAGAGAAACCTAACACTTCATCTATAACTTTCTTAATAACTGAAAAGTATTATATTTCGCCAAAAAATGTAGTCACTTAACAGAAATGGTATGATTATGAGACATTCTCAGATTTAGACTCTATGTCAAATGCAAGGATTATTATTATTATAATGAACCAATAAGATCCATAAAGCGCGGTGCACCAACACATGACAGAGTATAAAGTTGTACCTGTTGCTCCCACATACGGCAAGCTCTCACTCTCTAATGTTGTGAGCAATGGAACGTATTGAGAGCGATAGTCTCCTCAAGAAAAGAAGGTGAGGCAAATATCTGCATTCAAGGCATTTTTTATGTATCTCCAGCAGCTAGTTATCAAACCAGGTGAGCAGAGACCTGGAAGCATATCAATTGGGAAGTAGGGCAGCAGTGCATTGGCACTATATATCATAGCACTCTGCTTATCACTGTTAGGGTGTTTCAGCAATTCATACTAGGGCTATTTATGCTGTGCATAAACTATTTGAAATGGGCATAGAAACCAAGCTATCTAAATTTGCTGATGACAGCAAACTGGGGGAATTGAAAATAACAAGTAAATGCAGAGGGATCTGGCTAAATTAGTGAGTTATGCTGACAAGTGGCAAATGGAATTTAATGTTGACAAAAGCTCCCCAAGTGGAGGGAATCACAGGCATAAAGCTATTTGCATATTAAACTGCACATTTAGAACATTAACTCATTCGAGTATCTGAAGGAGAATAAACAGTGTGTCTGTAATATAAGTAGGATTAGTTTACAGGACACTTGTACATTGTGAGATTGTCTCAGAAAGTTTATAGCATAGTAGGATCCCATTCAGCCCATCTGTGCTGGTGGTTAGCTCCCCAATGGAGCTGTCCACTTTAATCCTATTCCTCTGCTCTTTCTCCTTGCTCTTTAATATTTTTTTACTCCAAGTACTTATCCGGGAAGTGCACTGGTGTCATACAGCAAAACCAACTTGATTTTCCATAGCGCCCGTCACAGAGGATAACATCTTGGAGCTCTTCACAAGGATGATGTATTATGATGGGCACTAAAGAAATAGTGCTGTGTTTCAGAGCACTACATTTCACATTACATTGGCACTGTGTATCATAGTGCTATCTCAGGCCAGTGCCTTGGCTCTGTTTATCACAGTGTGATCTTGGGTATTGTGCGGGCATTGATTATTGCTACTCAGACCCATGGAGTGAAGAATAAGTGCAGGTTTAGTCTCTCTTCCACTTCGCTCCCTATCAGAACTCCACTGAATGGCAAGATATTGAGTGGAAGCTGCAATGGATAAGCAAATGGAGGAACAGTCATGCCAAGGGGTCCCCAGTGCCTCCTGGCTATTGCTTTGCGGTGGCAGCTGTGTGGGCAGGTTTTCCATCCAGCTCTTGGCACCAAAAGTGGTGAGGCCAAGATAACTCAAGATGGGAGATAATTTACAAGCAAAACAGTTTAATATAAATGTGTATGAAGAAATATACATATACAACATACATACATATATTGTATATAAAATTGCCTCTTGGCAGCACGTCATCAGAATATAATTGTAAATGGAGATCCTCATTTGAATTCTATGACCACAAATAATCCCCCCACCCCCACACACACATACGCACATTCCCAATTGAGTGCCTGTATGAACTAGCAGAGAATAAAATTTTAATGCTGTGTTTGTTATTCGTTGATTGGATAAAAGGAAGATTTGTTCTAATATTGTGCTGAAGCAGTGGTCAATTATAAACAGCTAAATTTGGCTTTGTTCCTATCAACAATTAGTCCAAAACATTTGCAATTCAAAAAGTCTACTTTGATGCAAATTAGTAAACACATTAAATTTGAGGAGAGCAACAGAATAATTAGTATTTATAAAAAATAACAATACAATACAATACCATTTTTAATTAAATAAATATCTACTTAATTGAGGATAAAACACAGACTTTAGCTGAATCCAAATTTGAATTGAAAGCTATATTAAACTTTAGCGACAATAATTGTGTTTAAAACAAATTGTGAGGGTATTAAAAATCTTTTCAATTCAACAACTGGGAAATTGTACAGAAACTCAGAGAGGACACATTTAATGGTTATGTTTACACTTTTCTAGGTTATATTTCCATATATTACCTAAAATAGTGTCAGCAAGGAACTCTGATTGCAGAGAGAGAGTATAAATAATCATTGCATTTGATACAGAGTCTTATCACGTCTTATCACTGTCTACTCCCTCCACTCAGTGCACTCTGGCCTGCTCCAATGTTCCCCACCCTGCCTATCTCATCATTGGTGGACGGACCTTCAGCCTTTCTGCACCCACCCTATACAACAACAACAAGATTCCATTTATAGAGCGCCCTTCAAGTCGGGAGGACGTCCCAAGGCACTGTACAGTTGGATCAGGACCCGAGCAGGGGGGAAATGGTCAGGGTGAGGTGAGGGAAGGGAGGGAGCGAGGAGGGGGTAGAGAGTCGAGAGGGGAGCTGAAGGCACGGTCAAAGAGAAAGGTCTTGAGACCCGCCTTGAAGGAGGAAAGGGAGGAGGCGGCGAAGGAGGAGGGGATAGAGTTCCAGAGCCTCGGGGCTGAGAGGCTGAAGGCCCGGCCACCGATGGTAGGGCGTTTGGGGCGGGGGATGTGGAGCAGATCGGAGCCAGAGGAACGGAGGGTACGGGCAGGTAAGTAGGGGGATAGTAGGTCGGAGAGGTAGGAGGGAGCGAGGCCGTGAATGGACTTGTAGGTGAGGATGAGGATCTTGAATTCGATCCTCTGGGGGATGGGGAGCCAGTGGAGGCGAGCGAGGGTGGGAGTGATGTGGTCCCGAAGCCTGGTGCGGGACAGTACACGAGCTGCAGAGTTCTGAATGACCTGCAGCTTGTGGAGGGAGGTGGCGGGAAGGCCGGCGAAGAGAGAGTTCCCATAGTCCAGCTTTGAGGTGACAAAGGCGTGAACCAGGGTTTCAGCAGCGTGAGGGGTGAGGTAGTGCCGTAGTCTGGCGATGTTCCGGAGGTGGTGGAAGGCGGTGCCAGTTGTGGCGCGGATATGAGGGAGAAAGGACAGCTCAGGGTCGAACAGAACCTCGAGGTTCCTGACTGGCTTTGAGAGGTGGAGAGTGCAGCGCCTGAGGTGCGGAGGCGCTGACATGAGCCAATCAGGAGGGCCTCAGTTTTGCGCACGTTGAGCTGAAGAAAGTTGTCTCTCGTCCAGGACTCAATGTCGGACAGGCAGGCTGTCAGGACATCGGTGGTCATGGAGTTGAGGGTAGAGGAGGAAAGGTAGAGTTGGGTGTCATCCGCATACATGTGGAAGTTAACCCCA